CATGTAATGCCTGACAAATCCCATTTTGCTCATTTAGCAAAAGGACTTTAGCAAACCCGAACCCAGGAGTTCTGTGATAGGGACAAAATGCGTGTTTAATCCTTTCTTAACTAATGTGATTAGACCTCACAAGTGCTGTGGRGAAATAGCCAAGAATAGATTACGGTTTGAGTGCACATGGAGTTTTGCTTTCAGTGGAAAAGTTTAGGGAGGAATTTGAGCCAGAAGCGGCCAGTGTGGTCGCAGAAAGCTGGGGTCCGTGTTGGCTTTGCTGGTTTGGACTGTGTCGTCTTGGGCGCGACACGAGCAGCTCCAGGCGAGCAGAACCTGCTGCTCAGAGCCTGCTGATTCCATTGGGTTCCAGGGATCCTCCTTTTTGGCGGAAAGGCCACAGGGAACAGCGTGGGACGGGATGCACAAGGTCCTGCGCAACAGGGACACGGCGGGAGGGATTTTCCCTTATGGTGATGCTGAGCGCGCTCTTCCTGCTGCGCTCCCTAGTCTAGGGGCTCAGGGATATCCTCAAAGAGGTGCCCAATGCTCTCCGGGACGGCAGCACGGGCCGGAGCGAGGGGGGGCTGCAGCTGGGATTTTATGCTGGGATTTTAAGTGCTTTCTGCTTGGTGGTGGCTCTGGAGCTGTTTTCTGCAGCACCGCTCGGGCTGCAGCTGGAGGCTGGGGCGACACTGCATAAAGGGCCGAGTGTTCGGGGGAATTCTTGGCATTCTGGCCGCCGGGGGGCTGGGAATTGTTTGTCGGCAGGAGGTTTTCGCTGCGGGAGAGCGCGCAGGGCTGGCAGCCGCGCRGCCCCCTGCGCAGCGCAACGGGCCGCAGGGAGCAGGGGGCACCACCGTCATGCAGCGATAAACCAGCCCAAACCCCCAAACCTGAAGCTTGCTTTGACCGCCTGATGGAGATTAACTGAAAACCTCCCCTTTGAGCATGTGTTTATGCTTTGCAAACGTGCTTGGTGGCATCTGGGGATGACAAGTTTGCTGTGAAAGGTGCTAGGATCCCTATCGGGCCCTGCTAAATGGGTGAGCGGGTTCCCTGTGTGCCGAGTGGAGGGAAGAGCCCTGTGTGCCGAGCGGGATGCTTCCGCAGACCGTCTCTGCCGGCGGGTCCCTGAGCAAGTGCTTAACTGCTCGGGGCCTCCGTTTGCCCATGGCACGGGGGTAAAACCCGCACACCGCACGCCCAGAACCGCCGGGGCCGCTCACGTCTTCGTCCTGCGCCGGTGGCCCCGTTGGTGCACGGGAGCCGTTCGCCTCCCTGGGCTGCCCGCGCGGCCAAGGCCCTTGCAGYCCTTCCCGTGCTCGGCTGCGGATGCAGCTCCTTGCAGGGGGCCCTGGGGCTCCCCGTTCCCGGCACTGTCGCTGCGGAGAGCGGCGGCAGGCGAGGAGGTGAAGTCAGCGCTGTGTGACATCCCGTTCCCGTCCCATCCCTGCCGGCGCCGCGCGGAGCTGCCGCGTCCCGGTGCCTCCTGCACCTTGGGAAGCTGCTGGAGCCTGGAGCCGGCAGCTGAGCCCGGCCGCAGCGCTGATGGCTCTTCTGGCGCCTCAGAGCCCTTTGGGATGAAGCTTATCGCTTGTACAAAGMCCTTTTATTTAATCAGAAAAGGGAGGAAAATAAAACAGGCTCCCTTTCCTCTGCCTTTTTTCTCTTAGCGGTTCTGCCTTGGGAAACATCATCCGTTTATCTCTGTCACTTACGTTTTGGYGGGTGTATAAGAGGGGAAAATCACTGCAGACAAGGGGAAGTGCAGTGTTATCTAACCCCTTAGGGCATAAACCAGGAGTCCTCCCTGAGCTCCAGTTTGCTGGGAAACAGCAGCGTGCGTAGGGGGTTTTGCTCTTGCTTTGGCAGAAGGAGCCCGCAAGCTGCTCCGTGTGGGAGCAGGGTGGGAGCGGGGAGCCTGTCCTGCCGCGCGGCTCGCGGACAGAAGCGGCCGGCGGCCTCTGGGGCTGCAGCGTTTGCTCCTGCTCCCACTCCCGTGGTTGCTTTGCCTGYCGTGTTGGGGAAAATACAAGTGAATGGATGCAGCTGGTGCCGGCGCTCCCCTTCACGCAGGGTGGCTCCTCCTTTTAGCCTCGGGCCGGGGGTCTCGGTGCCCTTCCGAGGGCTGTGGGGCCGCGGCCGGTGGGACGGCTCCACGGTCGGTTTCCCCGGGTGTCCTTCGTCCGCGTTGCCGGGGCGCGCGTGGCCTCCGCAGTGCGCTGGAAACCTTCCATCGCCTGTGCTTGGTACCAAACCCCGCTCTCGAGCTGCCCGTAACCCGTTCCATTGTGGCTGCGCTTCCTTACGCGTTATCCCCTTGGATCGCTGGTCTGAGCCCTGCAGCTCCAGGCAGGGAGATTGCCCAGGCTGGGGTGGTATTGGTGCAAGGGCTGCTGCTGGCGCAGTGGGAATGTGGGAATCTGCGCACGGAGCTGTCCCGAGCTCCTAGGGATGCGGCTGCTGCTGGCGCGATGGGAATGTGGGAATCTGCGCACAGAGCTGTCCCGAGCTCCTAGGGCCACGGGACAGTTGCAGGGGCCGTGGCCAGGGCTGCGGAGCTGCTCCCGCTGCCCTCGCGCTCCGGGCCCGGCGGCTCCGAGCTCGAGGGTGCTGCAAACACGGGAACAGTCCTGCTGAACCTCCCGGCCCTTGCCAAGCCCTGTTGCTGCCCTCGCTGAGGGCAGCCTCTGTGTTCTGGGTCGGTTATTTATACCGAGCCCTTCAGCACGGCTCTCTTCTGCTGGAAGCCCTGCACGCTTTGAAGCCCTCAGCAGGCAATCGATGATTTACTTATTTATTTTTGAGGTCGTTTTTACAGTGATGCTGTCATCTTTATTAGCAGCTGAACCGTGTCAGGCTGCCCTCGAGCTGCCTGGGGAGCAGGAGCGCGTTGAAAGGGGGCTCCTTGTTGGGAGGTGAAACCCCTAATCGGTCGCAGGCACCTGCAGGAGCTGCTCGAGGTGGTCACTGCCGGCCCAGGGCAGCTTCCTCCCCACAATGAGTCACCGCAGCCATTAAGTGGTTTGCAGAAGCACACGGGTTGCATACTTGAGCTCTCAAGTTTTTAAACCCCATGCATTGGTGTATGAGGTATAAAATAATGTTTTTCACTGCTCTCTGGGTTCTGCAGTAGCTGCTGCTGTTTGTCCTAACACAGCAATGACGGCGAGCGCCTTCGGCAGCAGAGTGACCGTGCGGAGCAAGCGGYTCCCTGCTCCGGCAGCAGCCTCTTGGCAGTGAACCAGGTCATTGGCACCCCTACAAAAGCAGGAGGGAACCGCRRGGCCGTCAGCAAAGCTATTCCGGGAGTTTGGCGCTCCGGCTCTGCGGTTTGAGGAGACGGAGCGCAGGGGATCCGCTCCGGTCCCGTGCGCAGGGCGGCCGAGCGCCGGGGAGGGCAGTGGAGCCCGGTGCGTGCCAAGGGCTCCTGCTGCCGGAGCCAGGTCCCGATGCGGCCCTGCCGGAGCAGCGGAGCCTGGTGCTGCCYGTTGCCTGGAAACACCTCGCCAGCCTTGGGCACTCTCATGCTAATCCGAGCCCCAGGCAGCCTTTAGTTGTTTCCTTGYCAAAATGTCACTGCAGACTCCCTGTTTGGGGGTTTTGTTTCCTTGTTTTTGTGTTTGTTATTTAAAATAATAGAGCCCACCCCTCCGAGAGCACAGCTTTCAGAGCCGGTTCCTTTCCGTGGGAACCTCTGCTGCCGCCTCGCAGCGACGGGAGCTGCTGCTTGGAGCTCTGCAACGTGCCGGGACAGGGGCTGGACTCCTCCAGTGCTGCATCCCCGCCAGGCATGCRCAGGAGCATCCCGCTCCTCCCGACACTCTCCCTACCAGTGCAGCTTGGTTGGGGGCTGCTGTGCTTCTAAAGTCCTTTCYGAAGCCATTTGGTGCTTGGGTCAACGCTTGGTCTCAACAAAGCCTTAATTGACTCGGTTTCCCCGCAGGAAAGCTCTAAAGCGGCAGCTCTTTCCGCCCGGGTCATGAGCAGGATCGATCCCGCTGGAGCGAAACACAAGCGGTGCGAGAGGCTGGCTGCGTTCGATTGCCCTCCTGTCCGGGCAGTCCCAGCCTCATCTTCATTGGAAAATTGGGAACAAATGCTAATCAGGATAGGCAGAAAATTGGGCTTTGTGCCCTGTAGCGACCTAGACTGTTTACAAGTTGCTCTTGTGATTTAAATCCTGTATTTTGCACAGCTGGGGATATTTGTTTGTTTGACCAAAGGCAGAATTAGGGGAAGCCTTGACTTGAGGTGCAGTGGAACACGTTCATATCTTGTCTAGGGTCTTGTTGCAGGCGTGAGGGGCCATGCAAAGTGTACCTCTGTATTTCTTGTACTTTCCTCCTGGGATATTAACTTCCCAACTCGCTCTCCATCTTGGGAACCAATGTGAATTTCAGCAGGGAGCTAAGTCCCGTCTCCGGCTAGGGTTCCCTGTTCTCCCTGCCTTGGGACCGTCAGGAAAGGCCAGGGAGGAGCCCTGATTCTGCAGCCCTCACCCTTCAGGGAGGCTCCTGGGCCAGGTGCCCGGCTCCGTCCCGGCGGAGGCCCCGYGGGAGGCGCAGATGGCAGAGCCAGCGGGTCCCTTTGGCCCCGCGCACGCTGCGCCCCGGCAAGCGCCGCTGAGCAAAGCCAAAGCGCTCGCAGCACCCCGGGAAAAACACCGAGGACCCGTCGGGAAATGCGGGCTCTGCCTGGCTGCGCTCAGGGCTGGAGGCCTGACGGGAATGAAATACAGCAGGAGAAATGAGTGGTAAAACAGGCAGCGGGGGCTCCTCCGCTAATCTCTCCCAGCTGCACAGAGTTGGAGCTCACGCTAATATTTTCTTTCCTTTGAGGCTCCGAGATGGTTTCCCATTGAAGCCCTGGTTATTTGTGCTGCCGCCGGCGCATTCGAGCGCGCGGGTCCTGCCTCGGCGGCCCTGCTCCCCGGGGAGGGCGGGCGCTTCCCGGGCRCACCGCGTCCCCCGGCCTCACCCGCTGCCCTGTGCTCTCCTTGGCAGAACGAAGAGAAGAGGAGCCTGGCCCTGGGCGGCCATGTGGGCTTCGACAGCCTCCCCGACCAGCTGGTCAGCAAGTCGGTCACGCAGGGCTTCAGCTTCAACATCCTCTGCGTGGGTGAGCACGGGCTCCGCGGGGCTGGGGTCTGCCCGGGGTCCTGCTCTCACACAGGCCTCCACGGGGACATAGGGTTTTTTTTCCCATTTCCCTGTATTTATTCCCATATTTATTGTTTTTTTCCTATATTTTTTATATCCTTTTCTTTAAGTCTTGACATTGGCATGATTTAGCAGGTGATGCTGGCTAGAATACAAAAAATTCATTCCTTGCAGCGGTGGGAGGTGCATTATTTTTCAGTTTAATTTTTTTCTTCGTATAAGTTCTCAAGCATTCTAACCTGCTTGACCAGCAGAAACACTTCAAGATATAGCAGCTCTCAACCTGGCAGTTATTCTGCCTGAACAGAGTGTGGCTTTCTGTAGATTGCATGGGGAAATGCTGGTAATTTTAGATGCTTGCGTATAAGTTGGCTTTGCATATTCAAGCCACAAGTTAAAACCATGTGCGAAATCAAAGTTCATCCTCCAGCACTTACAGGCTCCTTCCTCTGGAGAAGGGTAATTGCAGCAGAAGACAACGTGTCTCTAACTGGGGCCGTTCTTGAGGACACCAGAGCAGATAGTCCTGTGCTTTCATCTAGCCAAAAAACGTGTGAAATCTGAAACRTGCTGGGAGAGAAAAAAATTGTGCTGCTCCTTGCCAATTTGTGCCACGTTTTTGTGTTCCCAACTGTGCCCAGAACCCAGGAGGACAGTGTGGCTTGCAGCAGGAGTAAGTGCTGTGTGTGACTTTCCTTCTAGACAGACGTAGATCTCCAGGCTGCCCCTGCTTCCTCGCACGCTGCGGTGCGCAGTGCGCGCTCTGCTCTGCCCTGTTCCGAGCACCAGGGGGGATTTGTTTGCTGGTGAGGAGTAGGATCTGCAATCTGCTCTRCTTGACAACAGGAAAAAAAAAGCCCCAGAGCGCAGGCTTGGGAGCTGGCGTGGCAGAGCTCTCCACAGAAACTTGCCCGTCTTCCTGTTTGCCAACCCGTGTGTCTGCTGCGGCGCTCGGAGGTGGCCCAAGAGCCCAGCGAGGGACTGTGGCCAGCTGGGTGGGAATGGGGAAGGACACGGGAAACAAGCAGGCAGCAGAAGGCCCTTGGCCTCTGGTTTTTCTACGCTGCCTTGGCCAACAGGGCWGTATTTAATGGAGACATTCAAATGCAGCCCCTCATAAGCCAAGCTGGAAAATATCAGTCTCGCTGGCTTAGCAGCAGCTCAACCTGCAGGCCAAGTGTCCTGGGGGACAGCCTGGTTGGTGATGCAGCCCCGTGGCCTTTGGTGGCACAGGAATGGACTCTGCACATGGGAGGCTTTTCCTCGTGTCGCCCCTGCCCATCCTCGGATGAGGGCACCAAGGCTGGCTCTGCTGTCCCCTTGTGACTCCGTGTGCTCTGCCCTGCGTAGCTGCGAGGTTCAGCTAGGCTGAAATTTTCCTGCTACGATGAAGACGAAGATGCCTCGGAAGGGCCYTACTTCAGTGCTCCAGGAAAGTATTTTCCCCTCCATAAACCAAGAGGAGACAAGAGCATTATGTGGCATGAGGAGTCGTGYAACAGGGATGAAAAAGGGATGAAGCAGAAATACTTGGAGAGAAGCACCAGAAATCAGGAGTGCTACAAGGTGAAACCAGCTCTATTGCAAACACCCTCATTCCTGGGCCAGGTTGCAACATCTCCCTGTGCAGCTGGAGCCCAACAGCAGCTCTTGCTGCTTGTCAGACAGCCCTGGTCTTGCAGAAGACTTGGTTGCCTCCCAGCTCATGCGGGGTGTGAAGGCAGAGCTTGCTGCTCGTGCCCTCCCGTTGGGCTGCGCGACACCTCTGCAACGAGGCCGCCTTGTGCATCCTGGCACACGTGGGACTGCAGGGATAGGGCTGGAGAGCAGGGACACGCTGCTCTAGGGCTTCCAGGCACACCCAGCTGCCTGGTGGGTCATGAAACCTTCATGCAGCATCTTCCCAGCTGCAGAAAGGATGTTTTCAGTCTGGTGGCAGGTGGTCCTGGCAGGTTCAGAGCTGTCTGCCTGCTTCCCTGTCGCAGCAAAAGAGCTCCCAGATTGCCACTTCTCTTTCCAAAAGGACAAGTTCTCAGAGATTTTGGCAAGGTAAAGCACAGAGAGAAGGTGGTAGAGAGACCTGTGAAAACACATGCAGGAAAAGGATGAGATCTTGGTGGCAGAATTCCCTGCTCCTTCCCAAGCACACCRAACACATGCCACTTCCCTGCGATCTGCAGCAGTGGCTGGAGCTGTCGCTCTGGGAGAGCAGAGAACTCAGCCAAACAATCCCTGTCAATAGGGGCAGCCGAGTTTTCCTCCATCTCCTCTGAATTCTCAAGAGGTTGCTGAATTGTGGCCTGCCCAGCTTCTCTGGTGCAGGATGCCAAGCAAGGCCAGGGTCAGCAGAAAAGAAAACAGTGTTTTATCCTGGCCTCACCTCCCAGCGAAGACCGTACCCCAGTGTTAGCTCTGTGTTGCACATGGGACGCCTGCAAGAGCACTATTATCTTTAGAATGATTATGTCTGCCTGGCTGCAGGGGATTTGTAATAACCTTTCACAATGCAATTTAGTTTTGCTCTATAATTAATGCTCTTTGAAGTTCCTGTGACCTGAATTGATGCCTCCTCCTTGCTAGGTGAGACGGGCATTGGGAAATCCACACTGATGAATACTCTGTTCAACACCACGTTCGAGACGGAGGAAGCCAGTCACTACGAGAGCGCCGTTCGCTTGCGGCCGCGCACCTACGACCTGCAGGAGAGCAACGTTCACCTGAAGCTAACGATCGTGGACGCCGTGGGCTTCGGAGACCAGATAAACAAGGACGAAAGGCAGGTCACATTCCTGCGCTGGGCCGGGGCTGGGGCAGCACGCGGCAGAGCAGCCCGTTTCTGGGCACCGGGCTCCCCGTGGGGCAGCTCTGGTGCTGGGGTTGTTGGCTGTGATGCTGAGACGAGATGGGAGGTCACAGGAGGTCCTTGGGGCAGGGAACAGTGTCTGCCAGGACCGTAAGCGGTTATCCGGCTGTCCTCAGTGCAGGGTCAGGAATCATCTGTTCTCACAGTGATTGGTTTCTGGAGAGCTCATTTAATTGCACGGACAACTGCTCACGCTGCAGGGAAAGGCTTTCCAGGACTCCCAGGCTGTGTGCTTGGTCCCTGAGCCTTGCTGCAGCCAGGTGGCTCGCCCCAAGAGCTGGCAAAGCCCAGCCCTGGTTCCGTGCCCCGTTCCGCTGTCATTAGACCTCGCAGTTCAGGCCCAGGAAATTCTAGTGGCCTTTGGATTATAAGGACTGTTTGCAAATGCCCCACTTTTCCTTTTGGAAGGCTAAATTCTGCCTGTTTTAATTGTTTTTTGTTTTCTTTTTAATGATATCCTAGTATGCCTCGGAGAATTTATTAAACCTTCAAACTGTCTAATCCAAAGTTCCAGTATTTGGGTTTCTAACGCGTATTTTTAGTTACAGGCCGATAGTTGAGTACATTGATACGCAGTTTGAAAACTATTTACAAGAAGAGCTGAAAATCCGTCGTTCCCTCTTCAACTACCATGACACGAGGATTCACGTCTGCCTGTACTTCATCACTCCGACCGGACACTCGCTCAAGTCCTTGGACCTGGTAACCATGAAGAAGCTGGATAGCAAGGTAAGGGGCTGGAGACCGAGCGCACCCTTTTTGGTGATGCTTCTGTTCRTGTTGTTGTTAGTCTTGTCGTGTGGAGGGCTCTGTTCCATCAGCTGCATCTTTGCTGGCTCTTACTTGCACGTGTGCGGGCAGGGATGGCTCTCACTTCCTGCAGCTTTACTGTGGAAGCTGCAGAGCCATCTCTGCTGTCCTGACCGTCGGCGAGCACCCGAAGCAATAGGTTTGCTCGGCAGTAGGTTTGCTCAGATGGGGAGATGGTGGTATCTTCTCTAAATGTGAATTGCAAGGTGCTCTCAAGGTCATAGGAACCCTGAAAACGGGTCAGTGAGAGAGGCCCTGCTGGGGACTGTTGCTCTGTGCAAGTCCCGGTGCCTGAGGGGCAGCGCGTTGTTTGACCGCTGACATTTGCGCAGTGTGGAAGGAGGTTCCTGGCACTCTTCRCATTGCCCTGGTTGCCTGCAGGGAGTGGAGGCAGGCTCCAAAGGTCACTGCTACAGCATCCTCTCTGCTCCRCTGCCTGTCTCAGTGGAGATTGTCTTGAAGAGCCATATTTTAGCAGCAAGATGGTTTCTTTCAGGCTAGTGGGCCACCATCAGGTTATGGGGGGCAGACAAGGCATCTGGGACCCTGCAATAGCTGAAGTCCCTCTGAATCCCCTAGGAAACTGCTCCCTTCTCTGGCTCTTGTCCCCAGCAGCCCTGCTGGCCTCTCCTGGCCTCCAGGCCTCGCCACCCAGGCGCGGGCGRCCTCCTTTTGCTTGGCTCCTCTCCAGGATAGACACGGCCTTCCCATGGCAGGGCCTCCTTGTCCCCGCGGTGGCTCTCGCACCGACTTCCTCAGGCATCCAAAAACTTTCCTGTAATGAAGCCGGCTGCTGGCGTCGCGCCAGCATTACACGTCTCAGAAGTATGTTTGAGGAAAGCTTTTGCCTGATCCCCCCTGGCGCTGGTGGGCTGGCAAGGCTTCCCTCTTCCTTTCCTTCTGCATTCCCTGCTCTTCRTGTCTCTCCATGGCCGCATTTAATGTGGTGCTTGGGTAATACCAAAATAAATCCTTTATGCTCATGCACGGATGGGGACTTGGTGCACGCAGAAGCTTTTTTGTATTTCTAAGCTTCCACGTGCATGCTCCTCTCCGAAGTCRTTTTTGTTCCTTTCATTTCCCATCTCTCTCTCCCCACGCTCTGGAACATCCTGGATTTCATGGTGTGTTGGCCTAGTGCAAGTGTCTACCTATAAGTGTCCGAGCAAGTGGAGACCATTGATCTTGTATGTGTGTGTATGGGAATTATGTTGCTTTTCTCCATTGGTGACATCCCAGGGCTTCAAGGTACCTTCCAAGCATTTCTTAAAGTTGTAGGGAAGGTTGTGGGGGAGATGTAGGAACCTGGGTCAGCTCTTTCCTTGCCACACCAGGGACATAGCATCAGGTGTCAGGAGATTGTCGTATCTGTGCAATCCATGTAATGAGTTTGCTAACAAACCTTACCTTAAGTGTGAATTTTTACAGAATCCCTTTGGGTAAAGCTGTTTCCAACAGAGCCTTCCATTGTGCTGTAACGCAGCATTTGGCTGAGCTTGGGGGCAGCTGCTGCCTGCAGCTAATCGCACCTGATTGTAACCAGGGAGCCAGAAACATCTTCTGAACTGGCTCCTGGTAAACAAAGGGTGGCTGGTTGGTGAATGCCAAGTATGTTTGACCTAACAGGCATTGGTTTTTCCGTAGGGTGCAACCAGGGAAAAGAAGGGCGATAAGGAAAGATAAACTGTGCCTGCAGCAGGTTTGTTAGCAGAAAACGGAGCCGTGCCCTGGAAAGTGCCTGTGTGGCTGTGTGCCATGGGGGCCCGCGGTGCCCCGGCCCCTRCCCAGGGCTGCGCTCCTGCCCCCGGAGCCTCCACATTGCAGCCCTGCCGTCCCCGTCCCCCCTGGCCCCCGCTCCGTGTGCTCTGGCTCCTCCGGGGCAGCCGCTTAGGCCTCTCCTTCCACCTCGGGCTCTGCTCCCTGTCCACACTCGGCATCTCCCAAGAGGAAAGCTGATCTAGATGGTCTCTAGAGGTCCCCTCAGACCTCAGCCATTCTGTGATTCTGTGAGAGAGACACTCCTGCTCTTTTCTTTTTAAGCATGGGAAGGTTTTTGCATCATGTTGCTGCAACGTTTCATCCTTACACTTGTCTTCTCCGCGGCCTTGCTGGACGTGGATAAGTGACAGCCCGAGAGGTGACAGTTGTAGCGTCTCTGCCCAGCTGTAGTGTGTGACAAAACACAGAGGCCAGAGCCGAGGTTTGGAGGAGCCGCTGCGGGTGTTTGTGGSTGTTATTGCAGGCTGTTTGTCTCCAGTTTCCTTGGAGCCGAGATATAATCCTGGGAGACTCTTCCCTCTAGTGTTCGCTGGGCGGCTGCTGCAGCTCCCGTGCAGACCGGAGCACCTTGGTGGAGCCGGGGAACGTGGAGCGAGGACGGCAGCCAGCCCGTGCGCCAGCTCCCGCGAGCTGCTCCCCGGGGTGCTGCTCACCTGCCGTGCCCCCCTGTCCTGCTGCAGGTGAACATCATCCCCATCATCGCCAAAGCCGACACCATCTCCAAGAGCGAGCTGCACAAGTTTAAGATAAAGATAATGAGCGAGCTGGTGAGCAATGGGGTGCAGATCTACCAGTTCCCCACGGACGACGAAGCGGTCGCCGAGATCAACTCCGTGATGAATGTGAGTAGCGCTGCCCCTTGCGTTGCCCCCGCACGTTGGGAGCAGCTGAACCGCACAAAAATGCGTTTGAAAGGCACGTTTCAGCAGGGTGGTCAAGTGCTAAATCTGCTTGAAAGCTGAGCTCTTGATCTGGCGGATGCCTAAGGCTATTGCATATAGAATTACTTCAAATGTGGCTCTTACTTAATGTCTCCGGGGTCTCTGGAGACATTCAACTCTAATATTTGTTGTATTTAACTTWAAAAAAAAYCTTTTTTTCTAAAATTCACGCTCTCCACTTTTTAAGCTACTTTTCTTTTGAGAAAGGGGGAACTTTGAATGAGAAATGTATGATTAGGTTTTATAGTTAGCTGCTGCAGAGGAGAGGAGTGCTGGCGGGAAGGAGGGATGGGGGGTAGAGCTGGCAGGAAGAAGGGAACGGAGGACAGAGCTGGCGGGAAGGAAAGAAGGAGAGATAGAGCGGGTGGGAAGGAGGGCTGGGGGACAGAGCTGGCCCGTCCGACGGGCGCAGGCAGCACCGTGCCAGGTGCCACACGCCGTGTGTGCAGGGCTGGAGCTGCAGGGATAGAGCCGCAGTGGCACGCGGATGGAGGATCATGCTGTGGTGCGGGTCGAGYGTTGCCCTGCTCGCGCCCGGCCCTCAGCACCCGTGCCCGCTCTGTTCCAGGCTCACCTGCCCTTCGCCGTGGTGGGCAGCACCGAGGAGGTGAAGGTCGGCAACAAGCTGGTGAGAGCCCGGCAGTACCCGTGGGGCGTAGTGCAAGGTGAGGCTCCGGGCGCTGCAGCCCAGAGGCTTCTGTGCCCTTTGCCTGGCACGCAGGCCCTAGGGAGGGGAGTGTGAAGTCGCTCTGTGTACAGCTGGCTGACTGTTCCCCTTGACTCCATCAGTGGAGAACGAAAGTCACTGTGACTTTGTGAAGCTGAGGGAAATGCTGATCCGAGTCAACATGGAGGATCTTCGGGAGCAGACTCACACCCGCCACTACGAGCTGTACCGGCGGTGCAAGCTGGAGGAGATGGGCTTCAAGGACACGGATCCCGACAGCCAGCCCTTCAGGTGAGGCTCTGCCAGCAGCTTGTGGCAACACCTGGGCACTGACACCAAGATGAAACGGCAGGTTTGGGGACTGTGCCGTGCCAGGCTGCCACGGGCCAGCACTGGTCTTGAGCATGGTGTTTGCCTTGGTGGTGCTGCCTCCTTGTCTGTCTTGAAGCAACACAGACATACATGTGGTTCCCCACCCCTAAGTCACTGTTATCCAACAGTTCTGGACTGTGTTTCCTTTCTTACCCAGCCTCCAAGAAACGTACGAGACCAAGAGGAAGGAATTCTTGGGCGAGCTCCAGCGGAAAGAGGAAGAAATGAGGCAAATGTTTGTTAACAAAGTCAAGGAGACAGAGGCAGAGCTGAAGGAGAAGGAGAGAGAGGTGGGTGTGCCGAAAACCCGTGTGCAGAGCTCAGAATATGCACTCAGCCGTGGGATCTGGGTCTGGGCAACGTTTGGATGCTCCAAAGCAGGGYAGGGCAAAGCCACGGGCAGCTGTCACGGCTGGAAATGGGCTGATCCTCTACAGCAAGGGGAGAGGCCACCGTGTCCCCAGCCCCGCGGCAGGGCTGGGGACAGAGCWGAGCTCCTCTAGTCCCTGGGCAGGACTCGCCCTTCCTCCTGCTTTGGCACATGGTGACGGGCAGAGCTGAATTTGGTCTTTGTCGCTTTGGGGAAGTGGCTGCAGCCGCTGCGCGTTGCAGAGGCCCTGGCTGCCTGGAGCCCCCTCGGAGAGGCTGGAGCTCTGTGGCGTGGTGGGGACACGTGTGGGACRTGTGGCTCTGCCCCCGGGTGTAGCAGATGCCGTAACCACAAGCCTATCTCCTCCCAGCTGCATGAGAAATTCGAGCACTTGAAGAGGATACACCAGGAGGAGAAGAAGAAGGTGGAGGAGAAGAGGAAGGAGCTGGATGACGAGATGAACGCCTTCAACAGGCGGAAGGTCGCGGTGGAAACCCTGCAGTCCCAATCCTTGCAGGCTACCTCACAGCAGCCACTGAAGAAGGACAAAGACAAGAAAAAGTAAGTGATCCACCTCACATTCCTCTCCTCTCTRCTGGGTACATCTTCAGCTGGGCAGCATTGCCTGGGCAGCAATTGGAGAAGTGGATTTTGGGGGGCTGTTTGTGCCACCCTCTGACTGCCTGGTGAAAGGAAGGGAGAGATGGGGCCCTCCTGTGCCCAGGCACGGYCCTGGGGGGGCCGTGGGGGCTGCAAATGGGCTTCTCCATTCTGGGCTGGTCTCCACATGCTGGAGRCCTGCAGATACCCATCCTTGCCTCCGTGAGAGCCAGCTCGAGGAGTGGTTTGCTCCTGGAGGCAGGCAGGACGGTGGCTAGAAATAAACTTCATCCCCGCGTCAGGAAAAACAGGGGACAGTCTTGACAATTTTGGTGTTTTTTAATTTGGTCACCCACTGTGCAGCACTTTACTGGGACCTGTGGCTCTGAGGCCCTCTCTGTCGACTGCATTTACTTTATTTTTTAGAGGCAGAGCTGTGAAGAAGCAAGCAAAGCAGCTTAGAGTGAAGAAACACTGGAGATTCATTAGGGCTGTGTGACACAGGGCTCTGAGAGGCAGTTCCAGTAACTGAGTCGCTGAGAAAGCTGTTTGCCCCTAAAGGAAGAGTTGTTATCRCAGCTTACTGCGAGCGGCACCTTAACTGATGGAGCTGGTAGGACTGTGGAGCAAGGGCAGGTAATAGTGCCCGTTCAGCTGTCTGCCTGGGTAGGGACAGAGCAGGAATGGTGAGAATGGGTTCACAAAGCAGGGGGAGGATCATCCTGCTCCTGCTCAAGGCAGCCTTCAAAAAATACTCAYTTGGGAATAAATCAGGAAGTGAACGGCCATGCAGACTGGTAACTGTTGTTCCAGCAGAGGGTCTTTGTTTATTTGCTGTATATTTATTTATTTAATGTTCCTTCCCCTCGCACAAAGAAGCGTTAAGGGTTCAGGTTGCTGCCTCTCAGTGGCAGTGCTGGCTGGTCCCCCGAATGCTGCAGGAGGGGGGACGGGGAGGGCAGCAGTGCCCGGCTCTGCTCGGGTGGCTCCGCGTTGGCATYGCGCTGCCGATGGGAGCCCGGGCTCCGGAGCGGAGCGGCCCATCCGCACGGACAGCCCTGCCCATGGCACGTTTGCTTGCAATGTGATCATGTTGGCGTTAAGTCCAACACCCAAACACCATTTCTCCACGTCTGTCGACACACACAGAATCCAAACCAGCTTGTAAAATACCGTGCTGAAAGTAGGGTTTATTCTTGTTAAAACCAAGTGCAAGTTGGGGCCTGGATGCAGAGCCAGGCTGGGTTGCGAGCGCTGCAGGGCGTCGGGGCGGCAGGAGCGGGTCCCCGCGCCGCCTTTGGGCGCCTGCAGGCCCTCGAGGAGCCGCAAGGCCTCAGCAGCAGATGCGGGGCGGGCGGCCGGGCTGGGGTCTGTGCAGGGGGCCGCTCGCCGCGGCGGCGCCGCGGGGACGTCGGGCTGCAGCCGCTGCCGAACGCGGCACGCGGGAGAGCTCCCGGCTCGAGCAGCACAAGTGCAGCCCTAGCCCCAAGCTCTCACAGGGCTCCTCTCGCCTTGCGTGCCCGGTGGCTCGTCTTTCCAGAGCCCTTTTCCTCCGGGAATGATCTGGGAGTGCCGGGGATGCCCTCGGATGCAGGAGCGTGAGACGCAAGGACCGCCTGCATCCTGGTACCGGGGACACGAGCACGGGCAGTGGGGGTTAAAATAGGGGTAATTGGAGTGGTTTTGGTAGGCAGGTAATTTTTCATGWTTTGGGTTTGAAAGAAGACTGTGGAACCTCTTGTCTCATGTTTCAGCACAGGGGTTTTTTAAAAAGCTACTAGAATAAATAAGAGCAGGAGGGGAGATGGGTGAATGGCAGGAGCGGAGGGGGACGTGTCACCTGGGGCCCGAGGCCGTGCGGCTGCGTCGGGGGCACTGCAGGCACGGTCTGCACGGGGCTTCTCCTGTAACGTGTCTCACTTCATTTTGCTTTTTGTTTATTTTTTTCATAACTTTAACCCATGCCTTTTTGTTCTGTTTCTTTCAGTTAATCACACACAGACTTTCAGGCCAAGAGCGGACTTGGTACTTTCAGGTGTTAAGTTGCTTGCGTCCCCAGCTTGCGACCCTCTGTCATAGCAGTGTGTGAGTGGACCAAAGTGAAAGAGAAAATGAGCATCTTCCCCGGTGGCAGGAGGTCTTAAGGAAGCAAACTCACCGTGTAACTTCTTTTTCTTTTCCTTTTTGTTTAAACAAAGTCACCTCACCCCCAAAATGAGGAGAAGGCCTGTCCTAAACCTAGGGATTATGCAGACACGGGTGCCATGCCCATCACTGCGTGGGCACCTCCTGCCACCGCCTCGGTGCTGGCTGCCCGGGGTGTCTGTGCTGGCCACGGTGGGCACAGGGACACGGTGTCCCCTGCCCGGCCCGTGTCCTGCACACGCAGCCCTGGCGAGCGCTGCCCGGGCAGTTGTTTATCTAACAAAATCACTAAGAAACGTGGAAGGGGTGAAAAACCCCCAAGTGCTTGGAGTCCTGCCCTGGGAATCATGGTGTAACAGTCATTCCAGCAATTTCATAGTTTAATCCCCCAATTTTCCTAAACGCTTGCTATTTTATGTATAATATATATATAKAGAGAGAGAGTGGTTAATTAAATCCATGTGACAATGTTTTGATTTTTTCTTTACAGCTAAATAGAACACTTAATTCGGAAGATTTTTCTTAAGAGTTTGTTGTTGTCTATGCAGGACTTGCAGGTTATAGGACTGCACTTGTCCCTTAGCAGCGTGCTTCGCTGCGGTGCGAGAACTATTTAATTGCTCCTCTGTTCTTCTAGGTTATCCAAAACAAAAAAGGCATCTGTAAACACGTGCCTACCAAGGAGAACCCCTGATACTGAGAACTATGCACAATATTTATGCTGATATTTATGCTGATGCCCTGTATTGCTCTTAAAAAGCATTTTCTTTAACACATCCGTCCTGCAGAGCTGTGTTCCCTGGGCAGCTGAGCCCACAGGAGTGATTAGGTTCAATATTCCTGTTTTCATTGTGGGGAGGCAGGAAAATAACCGGATAGAGCCTCACTTGCTGTTTTGTTGAGGAAAAACAGTTAGACCCGACTCCATCAGCTAATGGRCAGAAATAAAGCAAATATATTAGTGCCCATGTAGTGTGTACAGAGTTTATAAAAACACTGGCTGGCTAAGTGTTAGTTGTGAGCGTGTGCATTTTTATAGACTTATTAATGTTATAGGAGCTCTCTTTTTTTTTTTTTTTTAAAAAAAGTCTTTAAGATAATATGTCAGCAAATTCCTTATTATTTGACTTTTACACAGAGGTGCACAGCTTTGCATCGGAGCCTTTCCAGGTCTGCCCGAAGGCCGCGTTCTGCTGCGGTGTGAGAGGAGGTTCTGCAAGTGGCAGATCCCATCCCCGCAGCTCGCGCTGCTCCCTTTTTTATTTGTTAATATATACTCAGGTGATGAACTGCTTTCATATGGACATTGGCCTTTTATATGGATATACTGAAAATCATGTCCGTGTTGCTCGACGCTTGCGTGGGGGAACCGCATGGAAACTTCACAGGTACATTTTGGAACAGGCCTTTTTGGAACAGGTTCTTTATAAGAGTGAAAAGATTCCACGCACTTAAGAGTCTGCAGGAATCTGAGCATTTAATTTTTAAGGCTGTGTCTCTAAGCTAGATATATTATGAAGAGTAGTTGTCAGCGGTGGCAGGGGCTCGTGCGCTTTCCCCAGCGCAGCACGCAGGGAACACGGGCTCCTGCTGCTCTCGTTAAGACTGAGGATAGCAGTGAAAGAGCTTCAAAATCCATGGGCATTGCGGAGAAATTTCCAGCCGTTTCTGATGAAGACATTCAGAATGTAACTATTTTGATGATTATTATATATACATTAACTTTGTTATGCTGGACAACCTTTTCCACGTAGATGTTTTGTTGACCTTAACGTCATTAGGACCATTCCATTCCGTAGAGCAGTTAATATCATAATTTCCCYGTCAGGACTGAGGGTTTTGTTGTCGTTTTTTAATTTCTCTACTACTTGTGGGGTTTATTTTCCCCTTGTGGACCGAGATGAGATTAAATAAGTGGTATATAGGGTAGTTCTGTATCTCACTGTTATTTAACAAGTTACAAACGCGTCGCGATGCTGATCCCGCAGCAGCCTGAAGACTTAGTCCTAGGCTAGAAGGAGCAAAAGAGAACCCCCCAGATCCTGCAGCTGTGTTGTGTGTGTGTCTGCAAGGTTTGTATCAATGGCAAAAACTGTCCATATTTTCTTTTCCTTTGAATCATGTGAACATTTGCCACCGTGTGCGTTGTCCGCTCGCTGCTGCGGTGTGTTTTGAGGGCTGGGAGCAGTGCGGGCGCGCGGCACCTCCGCCTGCAACGCGCTGGGCTTGTCGCTGGGTTGTTCTCTCTTTTTGTTCGACTTTCAGTTCTTCCCACTCACTTTGTACATTATTTTTTTTTTCTTTATTTTATTAAATCTCACGTTTATTTTGAGTTTTTTGTTGTGGTGTCATTTATTGGGTGGCGGATTCCCCGTTCCCGCACGGCTCGGGTGCTGTGCGGTGCTCCCGGAACAGGAGCAGGGCCGTGGGCCGTGGTGCGGGCGCGGGGCCGGCGGCTCCGGGGGAAGTTCCCGGGAGCAGTTTTCCTGGTGCAGCCTCGCCTGGCTTGGTGCGTGTCCGGTGGGACTGCGTGAGGTTTGGTGTGGTTTGGGCTGCGCTCGCTGCTGTGCGGCCCCTTCCCGTGGCGGGCCTGGCCGGGGTGCCGGGGGTCCCTGCAGCGTTTGCAGCCCCGCCGCTCCGAGTGCTGTTGAAGGCTGATGTTCCAGGAGGGAAGAAAGAGGAAGAGTCTGGGCGCGGGGAGCTCGCAGGGAGGGCGCAGGAGGCAGGCAAGGCTCAGGGCACCTTGGCAAGAGTTTCTCTGCAGGAGCAGTGTTAGAATCATTCGTTCAGTGCTGTGTATGGGAGGCTGCTAGAAGTGCAAAGCCATGAGAAAGGCCAGACACTACCATTAAAAATGCTGCCGGGGCGGGTGACACGGGGGCTGTCCTTGTGCTTGTCCCGAGCGGRGCACGGAGGCCGCTCTGCGCCCATCACCGCGGCCTCCGGCCCCGTGCTCCTCCCTTCCTCTGTGCCCACGAAAGCCTGAGCCGGACCCTGTGGCTGCCACTTCCACACACGAGCTCGGCCGCCCTGGGCTCTCCGCGCACGGGGTGGTGTCGAGGCCACCGCGTCGTCCCCACATTGTCCCCGCTTTGTCCCCTTKCGCGCTGCCTGCGCTGTCAACGGTCCGAAGTTAAGCACTGATTCTCTTCTGTTCTTTCTGTAGCTTTTTTAGTCTTCCCAGTGCGTGCTCCGTAACATCAGGAAGATATGTTAATTAGAAGATGTATTAAGGCCAAAACGTCCCCTGCAGAAGACATTAACGGGTGCTTTCACCTTAATGCTTGCACTGTGTTGCACAGAAGAGGTTACGGAGCAGGACTGAGGTGCATGGTGCCTGGCGAGCGGGAAAAGCTGCCCTCATCAGGTTTCTTCACAAGCTTGGCTCTAAGCTGCTTGCTTAAAGATAAATGGCTAATGGAGGCTGCTGCTTGGCTGGCACCTAACGGAGCCCCTGCCCCTCTCGCCAAGCTGCGCTTCGGGACTAACTGGAGACCCTTTAATRGCCTTAACCAACCTCCTAGCAGTAACTCTGGAGTCTCTCTTTGGTAGCCTTAACCTTGCCTAGGTCTAACCAGATCCCCCATCCCTTCGTGYGGGTCGTTCCGTAGGGATAAGGGCCCTTCCCGGAGCTGCTGTCCCACTTTGGGTGCTCCCACTGCCCCCTTGCTGCATGGGACCCTGCAGTGTAACGGAGGGGATGCGGCTCCCGGCTGGACACGCGGGAGCCTGGCCACAAGACCGGCCTTTATAGCAGCCAAAAAGGTGGGAAAGAGGGAAAGAAGCCGTCTCCATGCCCCAGTCTGCCCCTGCACGGGAGGACAGGGAAGCTGCGGARTTTTAGCTTTTCTCCAAACCTTTTAAACCGAGTGCAGGGCCCACCTGCTTGTGCCAAAACTGACTCTAATAAAAGCAAAACTGCCTTGTTAAACGGACACTGTCAAAACGCCCTTTGCCCATTAAAAGCTCTTGCTGCCCTCTTTGTGATTCTGRCTTCCCTCTGTTGACCCCAGTGCTCTGCAGAGTGGGGTATGAAACACAGCCAGGCCCGGGGCTGCTTAGGGAGCTGAGCAGCTCTGCATCCCRGGRTMTGCRTTGGGGCAGCTCTGCATCCCGGGATCTGCATTGGGGCAGCTCTGCATCCCGGGATCTGCATTGGGGCAGCTCTGCATCCCGGGATCTGCATTGGGGCAGCTCTGCATCCCGGGATCTGCATTGGGGCAGCTCTGCATCCCGGGATCTGCATTGGGGCAGCTCTGCATCCCGGGATATGCATTGGGGCAGCTCTGCATCCCAGGTATGCACCAGAGCAGCTCCAGCTCTGCATCCTGGGATATACACTGGGGCAGCTCCAGCTCTGCATCCCAGGGCAACTCTCCATCCTGGGGCAGGCCTGCATCCTGGGATATGCAGCAGGGCACCTCTGCATTCCAAAGCAGCCCTGCATCCCAGGATATGCACCAGGGCAGCCCTGCATCCTGGGATATGCACCAGGGCAGCTCTTCATCCTGGGATATGCACCGGTGCAGCCCTGCATCCCAGGACAGCCCTGCATCCCAGGATATGCACAGGAACAGCCCTGCATCCCAGGGCAGCCCTGCATCCCAGGATATGCACGGGAACAGCCCTGCATCCCGGGGTACTCGGTGCCGGAGCTGTTGGGCACTGGAGGCCAGGACCGGCTCCTGCCCTCGGGGCCTCCTCGGGCCCAGCACGTGGCTGCATTGGGCCGGGTCAGCGCGTGGCCCCCAGGAGCAGGTAGGTACCGTGAGCGCCCGTCCGTGCGCGGGCGYGAAGGAGCTTTTCCTTTCCGACCTGATTTCCACTTTCTCTCCCGGAGCTGGGATGCCGGGATGCGCTGGTGGGCGCCGCTCTGGTGCGAGGTCCTGGAGCACCGTGGGGCTGCCCAGCGGATGGGGCCGCGYGGAGGCTCCGCTCCAGCCTCGCTGCGGAGGAGCCCGACCGGGCGCGGGGACACAGGGGCCCAGGAGAGACCCGGCACTGCCCAGGCCAAGCTCCTGGTTCGTTTAACAGAATGCACCAAAGACAGTCGCAGCTTAACAATCTAAAACGTAACTTTATTTTCTTAATTTTTTTTAAAGCAAAGCCAAGGGCTGGTTTCAGAAGTGCTCTGCAGCAGCGTGTGGGGTGCTGGGGGGCCGGGGCAGGTTGCACGTCCCACAGGCCGCTCTGCGGGGCCGCACACRGCTGCTTTTCCAGGAGCCGCGGGAATGCGCCTGGAGTCTTTCCTGGGATAAGCAGGAAGGCCAGGGCTCCGGCGTGAGGCCCTGCAGAAAATTGCAAGTTTGGGTTCCGGTCTCTTCTCCATTGAATCAAAGCCTTGGTCCCGCCTGGAACTTCCTCATCCAGAGCGGCACCGGGAGCTCCCCCTTGCTCGGTGGCAGCTCCCCCTTCATCCCCCGTGGGGCAGTCGGGGTGTCTCTGGCAGGAGAGCGGGGCCGCGAGCGGGACGAGGCGCTGGCGCCGGCGCTTGGTCCCCCTGGGAAGGAAGCAGCAGCTCCCTGTGCTGACAGGGGTAGATGGAGCCTCCCTGGGCTGCGGCCAATGCGGAGCCGATGGAAAGGGCTGCTTGGCAGTAGCGGGCGCCTGGCTCCGAGGGAACTGGGC